ATATTTCATAGCAATCTGACATGGTGGTTCAGGCTACTAAAAAGGAGGCATAACAATATGAATGTAACTCAGTGTACTCAATCTGTGAAGCCAAAATGGTCAACGGCACTGTATATTTTACAACAATAAAATATACTTCTGCAGGGGCTGGGGTTGTGGCTCAGTGGTAGCGCACTTGCCTAGCATGTGTGAGGCACTGGGTTCGATTCTTAGCACCTCATACAAATAAAATAAAGGTCCATCAACAACTAAAATAAATACTAATGCAAAGAACGATAGTAACAAAAAATTGCATTTGCTAAAATTACCCACAGACATATGCATCTGTACATTTATACTGAAAAGCAAAAACAGGTCCTCAGAGAACTTAAGGCCAGTGTACAAGAGGTGAGTTTTTATGGAGGGATCTTTTTTTCTATAGCGTTTAAAATTCAATATTAAAAAGATTGATGACTTTATCATCTTATGCAATCTTCAGAAAGCCCCCACCATGGTGGGAAAGTTTCAGGGCTGTGTTTTGCCATTGAATAAAAAAAAAATTTTACTCCTTAAGTCTCCACCATAAAATAACTGGACCTTCTTAAATGGCCAGAGGTGAAGAGTTCACTGGCCATAGCCTGAGCGTCAGGTATCTGGCTGGACTGACTTGGGCAGGACACAGAGGCCTGGCCATCCTGCTGGGCTATGAGAGGCAGCTTCATCAATCTCATAGATATGCACCTTGCTTGTGATAAAAGCTGAGAAAAACCTCCATCCCTCCTGCTCCTGCCTACAGCTCTGCCCGGTTGACCTTAAGGGGAAGAGCAGGGGTGGGTAGCTCGGGCGATGACTGTCCCTGTGGGGCTGCAGCCCTAGCCAGGAGTAGATGAGTTTCCTGGTTCTGTCCCACTGCTTCTCACTGGCTGGAGACATTTCTTGTGAAGTGGGATTCCTGTGGGATTTTACGACTCTCTTGGGTGCTGTTCACTTTGGCATCTCAGATCCGCTTGATCTGACAGCAAAAGGACATTCTCCTACATAAAATGCACCCCCATACAAAAATGGGCATATGATTTCAGACATTCACAAAACACCTCAAAAGCCTGAACTTACCAGCTATTGCAGAAAAAGAAAGCCAAAATAAGCCCTGCCTTGTGGGAGTTTGGATGTATGCCCTTGGATTTCTCTTTTGCACATAAATACGCTATTGTTGGCATTACATTTGACAAAAGGGAAATTGTACCACAGGTGACAACCTGCAACATATTTCCAATGAATTGGTGGTAAGCTCTGGAAAGATGCCTGGAGAGGCAGCCATGACGGGTGAACTGTGTTCCCCAGAACAGACATGTCGGAGTCCTCACCCCAAGGCCTTAGCATGCGACCTTCCCTGGAGACTGTATTCCAGAGGTCACTGAGTTAAAATGAGTCATTAGGATGGCTCTAATCCAGTATCCTCATAAAAAGGGACACTTTGGACACAGATACAGGAAAATGCTGTGTGAAGATAAAGTCAGCAGCATGGAAGATTCTCTTCAATCCAAGGATCACCAAAGACTGCCAGCAACCACGGGAAAAAAAAAAAAAAAGCTGGAGAAAGGTTTGGAAGAGACCTCTGCATAGCCCCCCAAAGGAGCCAGCTCTGCAAATGCCTTGCTCTTGATCTTACACTTCTGCCCTTCTGTACTGTGAAAGGGGAAATTTCTTTAAGCTGCCCCCTCCGTGGTCGTTCCTAAGTCAACCAGTACAAACTAAACAGTAACAAAAAATTACATTACTAAGTAATGTAAGTTCTCTGGGGACCTTTTTGTGCTTTTCAGTATAAATGTACAGATGCATATGTGTGTGGGTAATTTTAGCGAATGTAATTTTTTATTACTATTGTACTTTGCAGCAGCCACCAGCAACCATGGTCAGAAAAGGACTCATGTAATTCCCTTATTGTTAAATATGAGCAATTTGAATTATGATTGTAATGCATTCCACTCTTGTTATGTATGTAAGAAATAAATTTAAAAATAAATAAATAAAAGCAATTTGAGTCCAAACATCCAAAATCTCAAACATTTCTGGCCCAGGCATTTGAAATAAGGCACATCCAATTTGTGATGGGCACGTCATCAACATGGAACCAGGGCTAAAACAAGGTCCCGTGGCCACCTCACTCTGGAAAGGCACCCAACCCCATTCGCACCTCAGCCCTCACCTGTCAGGCAGGAAATCCAGGGCAAGTGTCGCAATTAGTCTTCCACCCTGTCCCCAGCCCTGCCCATAAGCGCCCATCTCACAGTCAGCTGCCCCTTAATAGCTCAAACATCACATCCAGAACAAGAAGCCTTGATCTTCCACACTCGGTCCTGCCCCTTCCTACTCAGCAGTGTACCCTCCACCCAGTGGCTCTGCCCAACCAAGACTGAAGCTCCAAGCTACTTTTCTCACTGCCAGGTTCAATCTGCCAGCGGACATCCACCTCCATCCTACCTGGACCCCATCACCTCAGCCTCACACCTACTGCGCCCCACCCCCTCCCTGGCTTCTACTGCCCTCTGTCTCAGACACTTTCCCACTAGGAGCTCCAGCTGCCCTTGGGATTCCCTGATAGGTGACCCACTGAGCTCCAAACTCATACTCACCTAGTTCCCTTCTGTGTCCTCCTTATCAGGCCAAAAACTTGGCTTCGCCCCTGACCTTCAACTCTCCAAATCTTGCCACCACTGGGTCCTGCCCCCCTACATGCCGGTGATCTTGAGTTCCTCACCCACTCAATTCTAGAGTTTCTCAATCTCGGCACCACTGGAATTTGGGGGTCATATAATTCCTTGTCATAAGGGTTGTCTTGCTCCCATTCCTGACCTCTACCTACTGGATAACAACTGGCTGGCCAAGCCCACCCCCAGTGTAGCAACCAAAAATGTCTGCAGGCCAGAGCCAGGAGTCTGGCCCAGCCTTAGGTCTCCTGGTGGACCCTGCATCCAATCATGCCTCAAACTAATGTCCTGTGAGGCTGGCAACCTGGCTGGGGATCACGTGTGAGCAAACCAAGCAAGTGACACCAGCATGACAAAGTGTGGTTTGAGATGAGAAAGGAAGAGGCCCGCCTGCTCAGCTCTCCTTCTTCCAAAGTGCAAGGAATGGTAGTACCTCCTCCCCACTCCCCAGTTCTCTGGTTTTGTACCTGGGAACCCAACAAAACAATGACTTCATGACTAACCAAAGAAAGATGAGCTAAGGCCACATGACCGTGTTCACCTATCAACTGAAGAAAGAAAAAAAAATGAAAACAAGAAAGAAAGAAATCAAGAAAGCAAGCAAGAAATATCTTTTTAAATTAAAACAGCCAAAGTTGGTGAGTGTAGATAAATTCAGTCCTATTCTGATGGTGGGAATGTGAACTGATGCCCCTGTTGGAAAGCTTTTCACAGAATCAACAAGATTGTCTTCACCCAGGAATTCCTGTCCTAGAAGGCCATCCTAAACAAACACTATGTACAGGGGAAAAAAAAATCTATGGGTGAAAATGTCAATATGGCATAACTTTTAGTACTTAAAAAAAAAAAAAAAAACCTGGAAACAATTCAATTACCAATCATGAAGGCAAGGTCGAAAACTTTTATCTCCTCAAAAGAACATTACGCAGACATTGAAAATGAGGTCTGTGAAGAGCAGATGACAAATGGAGAAATGCAAAATATAAAAGCACATTTGCAACATGACTATGCAGGAGTGAAAACACTGTGATTTTAAAAAGCACAGAACTTGAGGGGGAAGGAGCGGGGGAACTGCAGAAGATTTTATTTCTACTTCTGAACTGCTCAAATTTTCTTTAATAGGCTGCATTGCTTATAAATATTTTTTGATGGGGTAGCTCAGTGGTACAGCACTTGCCTAGCATGTAGGAGGCCCTGGGTTTGATCCCTAGCACCAAATACATAAATTTTGGATGGATTATCTTCAAGGGAATAAACAAATTAATTCCTTTGAATCAGGGCAATGTGATCACATCATGGATGAGGACCTGAGAGTTCATTGCTGTTTAAAAGCAGATCTTTGCATGAACAGGGCTGCCCACATTTCCACTTGATCCCCATGGGACAAGGGACAGTTAAACTGCAACCAAATATCAAGGAGAGGAAATCTCACATGACACCTAGAGCCAGTCTGGGGTAAGAAATGGGGGATGAGGACTGGAAGAAGAAACCACAGGACAAAGCCATAGGGTCTCATATACAATCTCCCCTGCCCAGGAAGAGTTCAGAAGCGGGCCAGTAAGTGGTAGGGGTGTCATTCATGGAAGACAGGGGTCTCTCCGAAGAGCTGAAGCCAGGTATGGCGGCAGATATCTGTAATCCCAGATACTTTGAAGGAGGAGGCAGGAGGACCCCAAGTTGAAGGCTAGACTGGGGAACTTAGCAAGAGACCCAATCTTAAAATAAAAAGGATGGGGATGTGCCTCAGTGGTAGAGCACTTGCCTAACATGCATGAGGCTCTGAGTTCACTCCCTTGAGGCACAAAAAATAGAAAAAAAATTTTTTTAAAGAGCTGAGCAGGTATGTGCTTCTCCCTTGTCTGAAGTATGTTTCTATCCATGACTGTCAAGTCTCAGTGGTACAGGCTGATGTGGAACCTCACCCCACTTGACCCGCTTCATAGGGGTAATTGGAGCTACTTTCTTTTATCCAAAATGCCAGTGGCATCTACAACTAGACCTGGTCCCAACCTCCATCCCCCCAAGCTGAAAACAGCCAGGGAACTCCATGAACTACCTAAAAACATGGATCATCTTCCAAGGGAGTCCTGAATCCCCTGAAAGTAGAAGGGAGGAATTCTGTGGCCAGGAAGACAACGCCCAAGGATGAACCTGAGACCAAACAAGCTAGGATCAGACCAAATGGGCTTCTCTTTCCATCTTGCAGAAAGATCCTCAGGACGACCTTCTGGCATTCAGGAGGAAGGAGGGGCTTATGACTACTCCACCTCAGGACACCTGCAAAGGGACACCCCCAGGTTGGAAGTCACTGACCTTCTCTAGCTTCTCAAAGTGCTCCCGGAGGAACTTCATGGGGCGGTCAGGCTTGGAGATGCAGAGGTGCACGATGCAATCTTTGAGCACCTGCTGGATGCTGTGTTTCTGAACATACAGCTCACACCCCTTCAGACTGTCCTCCTCCTCCAAGTGGAAAGAGGATGGAGAGGCCATGGTCAGAGCGTCTTGTTCTTCCCGCTGAGGAAAATAAAAAACCACATGAACCTCAGAGGAGCTGGAGGAGACCCGGGCTGCACTGCTGTGCTTCACAAACATGCACACAGTATATAAGATTTTATTGTTGGCGGGCAAATCCAATGAACCGTGTAACACAGAAAATGTCATTTATTTTGCATTTGTCAAAGATCTTTCATTTTGGGGGGTTGGATGAATTGTTTAATTTATTAACAGCCACAAAGACCTTACCTCTGAACAGATTTTGTGGGGATGGAAAAGATTCAAATAGAACTTATGGGTGACCCAAAGCCCCCTTTTGCCTCTCTGAGAAATCTGAGGTGGGAGAAGTGGGGTGCCTGGTGCTCCCAGTGTCCAAGCCTGGGGTTAATATGGTCTCACTTTCATTCACCCTCCAGGTTGTAAGGACACCTGTGTGAAATGTAAATGTTGTCACTACTTGGGGTCTCAGTTGGAGGGGTCCTCCGAGAGATAAAGGAGGTGGGGGAGGGGAGGTCAGTGAGAATCAAAAGGTGGGGAAGCCTGGAAAAGAAAGGGAAAAGAAGCAGCGGAAGCCCCCCGCTGGGGGCCAGGCTGAGAGGACTAGAGAACAATAGCAGCCTCTAGCCAAAGGCGCCAGAACGGCTTGTGTGCGCCCAGCGCAGGGTTAAGTCACAATAGCCAGGTCCACCCACCAGCCTCCGGACTGAGGCCACCAGCCAAACCCCCAGGGTTTTCCAGCCACCAGGAAGGCCCCCCAGATTCCACCTGCGCTGGCAGCAATACCCCCGCAGACGGTGATGGGGCACCCCACACCCCAAGACAGGACGCAGTGGAGGACCCCCAGACCATGATGGGATGCTTCGGGCCCCAAGAGAGGACGCAAGGAGAGACACCCCCACACCATGATGGGGTGCCCCGGAGCCCAAGAGAAGGCGGGGATCCCCAGACCGTAATACGGTGCGCTGAACCCCAAAAGAGGAAGAAAGCAGGGATACCCCTCCCCCCGAGTGTGATGTGGCATCCAGGCCGGAGCCGGGGCGCGGGCCTAGTTCCACCTCTGGCGCCTCACTCACTCCTCGGGGGCACCGCGGCCGGTGGGTCCCCAAATGCCCGCGTTTCCCGGTGGGCCTCCCAGCCCCGGCGAAGGCCCAGGTCGGGACAGTCCAGGTCCAGACGCAGACCCCACCCCAGCCTGCGTACCTGGATGCGCGACGCCTGAGGCTGGAGGCGGCTGCGCGGGGACGCGGGGCGCGGGGACGCGGCGAGCGGGTCCCCGCACTGCAGCGGCACCGCCCTCCGCCCGCCCCCGCCGCGCGCGGCCGGCTGCACCCTGGCACATCGCGAGTGCCCGTCTCCCCACAGACCCGCGATCCCCCCTTACCCTTGGCGGGCTGGGCATCCCCGCCTCCGCCCCGCCCCCTCCCCATCCCGGGACCCCTTCCCTGGGCTGGCAAGGGATGCACCACAAGCCTGGACACACAGACCCACAGGACCGCGGGCAGCACGGCCAGGCCCGCCCCCACTGCCGCCCTCGTCCCCTGTTCCCCAGTACTCAGACCCTGGCGTCGGCTGCAGCACAGGGGACCCTGGTGGTGGCCCGGACACCCCCACCTGTTGTGTGAGCAGCTATCACCCCGCGGGGGAGGGGTCAGCCTCAGCGACTTCCTAATCCACAATCCCAGCAAGCAGGAAAAAGAATTGACCTTAATTTTCTATTGCCCAACATCATGTTTTGCCCCATCTACCAGATTGGGGAAGAAACTTGTGTCTTTCCTGAGTGGTCTAAACACCAGGAGGAAGGGTGTGGCGCTCAGGTCTTGAGGACAGCTACTCTCCATCTTCACCCTCCTGTCCACATTCACCTGTCTTACCCCATCTGTTTTTCACTCACCTGTCCACCACACTCACTTGTCAACTCTGAGTTGTCTCATATCACCTGTTGCCCCATTCACCTGGCCACAGGCCCTCTGCAGAATCTCCAGCCTTGCTCATACTCCCCAGCAGGACTGGCCCTGGCCCAGCCTCTTTCTGCTAGTGTGAAGTTAAACTGAACAGGCCACAGGCAGGGGGTCAAACAGGAAGCTCCACATCCCCAGCCCTTGCCCTCCAGTGTGTCCCCCACACCCTGTTCACATCACAGGCTGACACTCTTGCTATGGACAAAGGCTGTAAGAATGGGTCTTTCTCAGAATTTAAGTCCCCATCTCACCTGAATCAAAACTTGCATCCCACAACCAACTCAAATCCTTGTCCAGCTCAGCTGGACTTGGAATTGCTGCGGACTAGCAGTGGAGTCCCCACCCCCTTGCTCCAGTTCCTTCTGGCTCCTCCAGAGTAGCCTGGCAAAAAGAATGAGAAAGAGTAGGTTTCGCCTGGCAATGATGGTGGACTGGCTTTGGTGCTCTAGGACTAGTTTTTTCTCTCATAGGACTGCCCCCTACAGGCACCTCCTCATGCTTTGTTCCCTGGGAGGGGAGTGTGGAAGACTCTCTCTGGCTGACCTCAAAGGACAGCCCTCCAATCTTGGGGTACCCCCACATGAGTCTTAGTCCTGCGGGGCTGCTTTGTCCCAGCAGAGCCCTCTTGGATCATGTTGCCCCTGGCCCTTTAACAACCTGGCCCCTTGACCTCATTAGGTTGTGGCTTCTCCTGAGCCCATCTCCTCATACCACCATGAGGGCAGCTCCCTCCAGTCTCTCACTTGGGACATTTCCAGGCAACTCAACTACCTATTTCAGTGCCCCCCCCCAAGCCCTACCTAGACTCCCTTGCCAGACTTCTGTTGTAGCAGTGCCCCAGCCTACAGACCTCTACATAACCCATAACCTGAGGCTCTTGCTGCCCTCTGCTGTGCCTGAAGTAAGGCCAGATGGTTTCAAAATGTCCCACTCACTGGTGGATCCCCAAGGAGGAAATCAGTACACAGAAGCAGAGACAGAAGTTCAAACCAGAACCACCCTAAAAACCATCCCCAAAACTCTTCTCTGGGCTCCCCGTGAATTGATAACCTTTATTGCTAAATTTGGTTGGCTTTTTACTTTGTTGGTTGCAAGTGAAAACATCCAAGTGGATCTTTCCCCAGACCGGATGTGCACAATCCACACACAGACACAACCCATGACAATACAAAGGGAGGGGACTCGGCGAGCCCAGATGAAGTAGGGGAGCTAACTGGGTGACTGGTGGCCAGTGCCTTTAATTGAGGATAATAAGAATGTCCCTCACGGGACATCTTCATGGCTCATCAAACCATGTGGATCATTCACAGTAGGTTGCCACCCTGCTGAACAGTGACAAATTCTGACTTTTTTAAGGACTCCAAATAGCTACATCCTTTTACTAAAAACATGCAACTGGTGATTTCATGACCCTTCAAAAGTCCCAGTAATTTAATTATGCTTATACAAGGATGCCCCCCCCCCCACACACACACACACAGGGGAGTACTTACACTAAATGCTTCATAGTATTATCATCACATTTCCCAGCTCTGTAGGCTCTTACTTCAATCCTAGACCTGACTACAGGATTCATCAAGTGATGAGATGTCTTCATAGTGACCAAGGCCTGCAAAGTCTTACCTCAAAGCCACGTTCTCAAAGCCCAACTGTTACTGATGTTTACCGCTAAGGAGTCCTTCAAGCAGAGGCAAGTGTAGAGTGGAAAGTGGAAGGCTTTATTAAAGGACAGCAGAGAAGACTTCTCCCGGGAAGAAGGGGACCTGAAAGGCAGAATCCGTGGAAGGGTGAGATCTTCCCTTTTTTATAGCTAAGGTCTTCTTTTAGTTTTCCCACATTTGTGTCTTGTTTCCCTCTATCTTTCAGTGACAGAATACAGGTGGGAAGGCCAAAAGGTGGCAGATAGGTGGGCTGGAGGAGTAATCTGGGCAGGAAGGGCCTGAGGTGGTTTGATTAGCACCTCCCTGCTTACTGGGAGCTGTTTCATTAACAGTTCCTTAGGATGCATTGGGGCCTTGGGGACATTAACAGGGGCCTTGGGGACATTAACATTTCAATTTCCCCAAGTGCTGCTCTGGTTTCCTGGACTCCATTCTTGATAATGGTCTCCATTTTCTTTATCTTACTCCATGTTAGACCCGATTTACCTAACTACACTAACTACCTATCTGTAAATCTGGCTTCACAACCATCCCCAAACTCTGTGCCAGCTCCTGCTTATTCCCCAAGGTTCAGCTGTTCCTTCTGCAAGGAAATTCCCCCAAGGCACCTGGCACCACCAGGTGAGGCAGGGAACCCCAAGGGACACACCAAGCTCTCTCACAGGAGCTACTACATTACATGAAAGGCTGCTGGGCTAATTCCTGTCTCCCTCGCTATGCTGAAAGTAGACATGGAAGATGTTTGTCTTATTTTTTATTCACTCTGCATGGTAAGGAGAAAAAAATATTTTCCTGGGTGCAAAAGAAAATGGATTCTTTTGGGTTCTGGAGACATTGCAGAGTTGGTGCTTTGAGACAGGCTCTGTTGGCAGATGTCCAGGGTGCAGATCCCTGTTCCACCCCTGAGCTCAATGCACGTAAGCTCACTGAGCAAAAGGACAGAGATGCTGCAAACTACAATGGCTGACACTTATTGGGCTGAGAATTTTACTGGGAAGAGGCCACTGAATGCTCAAATCAAAGTAGATAATATGAGGGACTGAGGGGAGGAGAGGCTGAGACTAGACAATCATAGTCACCCCCCAATAAATATTTAAAAATATTTTAATATTTTAATAAAAATATTAAAATATTTTTTAATATTTATTTTTTAGTTGTAGCTGGATACAATACCTTTATTTTATTATTTATATGTGGTGCTGAGGATCGAATCCAGGGCCTCACACATGCTAGGCAGGCACTTTACCACTGAGCCACAAACCCAGCCCTGCATCAATTAATTTTAAATCATCTCCAAGATGTATTATTTTTATCATTTGTGTCAGGGGTTGAACCAATGAGTGCTTAAACACTGAGTCAAATCCTCAGCCTGCTGTTTTTTTTTGTTGTTGTTGTTTTGTTTTGTTTTTGGTACTGGGGATTGAACCCAGGGGCTCTTGACCACTGAGCCACATCCCTAGCCCTTTGTTGTATTTTTATTTAGAGACAGGGTCTCACTGAGTTACTTAAGGCCTTGCTCAGTTGCTGAGGCTGGCTTTGAACTTGAGATCCTCCTACCTCAGCCTCCTGAGTTGCTGGGATTACAGGCATGTGCCACCAGGCCTGGCTCTTCCTCTTAATTTTTTTTTTTTTTTTTTTTTTTTGTAGTCTTAGATGGACAGCATGCCTTTATTTTGTTTCATTTTTATTTTTATTTTTAAAATATTTTTTAGTTATAGGTGGACACAAAGTGGTGCTGAGAATCGAACCCAGTGCCTCACACATGCTAGACAAGTGCTCTGCCACTGAGCTACAGCCTCAGCCCCTCCCCAGTTCTTTTTTATTTTGAGACAGTGACTTGCTAAGTTGCTTAGGACCTTGCTAAGTTGCTGAGGCTGGGCATGAACTTGTGATCCTCCTGCCTCAGCCTCCAGAGCCAATAGGATTACAGGCCTGAATTGAGTAAACCACAGCGCCCAGCTTCTGAAGTGTATTCTTTTTTTTTTTTTTAAAGTTGTAGTTGGATACAATATCTTTATTTTGTTATTTTATTTATTTATTTTTATGTGGTGCCAAGGATTGAACCTAGGGCCTGGCATGTGCTAGGCAAGCACTCTACCACTGAGGCACCACCCCAAACTTCCAAGGTGTATTCTTATGTGAAAATAAAGCATGGCATAAAACTGTGCACACTTTGCTACTATTACAGAGGTGAAATCACACATCGTATATGTTTATTCAGGTGTAGAACATCCCTGGGAAACTACTGCAGCAACCAATAACAGAGGTGGCCTCTGGGGCGAGGAACTGTATGTGTCAGGCAGACTCCCCTGGAGAGGGGAGTGACAGACACTAACCCAAAGGTGCATCTGCACAATGGCCCAGCTGCATTGCCACCCCCCAGCTAAACTGAGGGTGGAACTGTCTTCCATGTGCCCAAAGCAAACAGGCAGCTGGAGACCCCCTTGCACATAGGCTGTGAGGATACACTGCGTGCCTTATGACACTGGAGCCAAAGGGTGGCCCTGCTTTTGCCAGCTTTTTTCTCCCCTTGGGACATTTGCCTTTAGACCCAGCATATGCTGTGAGAAAGCCCAGAGCAGCCACATGTCAAGGGGCTGAGGCTCCCAGTGACAGTCCACAACCTCCACCTGATTGTGCA